CTGCTGCCAGGTCCAGGTCCACATGGGTCTCCTGTGGCCATGTGCTGTCCATCTTGCCAGTGCCACTCAGGTCTCCTCACACTGCTGGTGTGTTCAATTTTTTGACATAGGGTGCTGGCAGATTACGGGCCTCCCATAGCTGCTGCCAGGCCCCTAATCTGCCATGGGCCCCTATACCGCCTCATCATGCTGCTGCCAGGTCCAGAGTCTCTCATGGGTCCCTGTACGGCCCCCATTGCTGCTGTCTCCATCGCCACACTCTGCCATGTGCCACTTTCAGGTCTCCTCACACACTGCTGGTGTGTTCAATTTTTTGACATAGGGTGTGGCAGATTACGGGCCTCCCATAGCTGCTGCCAGGCACCGTAATCTGCCATGGGCCCCTGTACCGACTCCTCATGCTGCTGACCGTTAGAGGTGCAAGGTCTCATTGTTTTTAAACCATGTGCACTGTTCAGGTCTCCTCACACTTGGTGTTTTCCCAATTTTTTGGAAATAGGGTTTCGCTGGCAGATTACGGGCCTCTATATAGCTGCTGCAGGCCCCTAATCTGCCATGGCAGCCCCTGGTTACACCCGCTCCTCAGCTGCTGCCTTATGTCCAGAGTCTGTCTATGGGTTGGTCTGGCCTCCCATTGCTGCTGTTCTCCATCGCCAAACACTTGCCATGTGCCACCAGGAACAACATGCTGGTGTTTCCATTTTTTGACATAGGGGTCCTGGCAGATTTGACGGTTCCACATAGCTGGCCAGGGCCGGCCTAGCTCCATCTGCCATGGGCCCCTACCGCCTCCTCACTGCCTGCCAGGGAGTCTCAGGGTCCCTGTACGGCCTCCCATTGCTGAGGAGGATGCCACACTCTGTCCAGTGTGCCACTTTCAGGTCTCTCAGGACTGCTGGTATTTTTGAGTGAAATGGGGTATACTGGTTTTCCAGGGGCTCAGCTATCTGGGTGCAGGGCAGTGGAGGGGCTCATGCTGCATGCTGGTCCCATAGGGGATGGTACCGCCTCCCTCATGGATGCTGCACAGGTCAACAGTTCCACTCAAGGTTCCTAGGTCGTGCAACGTCGGTGTGTTGCTGCTGCAGGAGAGTGGAGGCAGGGCCCTGCGTGTCTGCTGCAGAGGCCCAATCCAGGTTGGGCCCCTTACCGCATCCTCATGCTGCATGCCAGGTGCCAGAGTCTCCCAGGGTTCCGTACGGCCTCCCATTGTGCCATGTCAGACAGCTGGGTGCCACTTTCAGGAATCCCATCTGCTGCTGTCCACCATTTGGTGTCATAGGGCTACCCGTTAAAAATGGGCCTCTTTTACTGCTGAGAGGGAGGCCCACAAATAATCTGTCATGGGTCCAACCCCTATACCAGCCTGGTGCAGTCGGTCTTGCTGCCATGTCTGCGCCACACGTCTCCGATGGGTCCATGTACCAAGTGGGCCCATGTGTACGGCGCTCCGCTGTGTCGCATGCTGCCATGGGTGCTGCAGAACAGGGGGGTAGCTGTGGTAGGAGCAGCCCGCATCAGCTGATCACCGAAAGCCATGCCAGTGGCCACTTTCAGGTCTCCTCACCCTGCTGGTTTGTCCATTTTTGTCATAGGGTGCTGGCAGATTACGGGCCTCCCATAGCTGCTGCCAGGCCCATAATCTGGATCTGACATGGACCCCTATTGTACCGCCTCCTCATGCTGCTGCCAGTTAGCTATTCGGGTCTGCGCATGGGTGGTCCCTCGCACCTGTACCGTCTCCCTTTTGCACTGCTGGTCCTGTTGGCCTTTTTGACTCTAGGGACAGTGCACATTCAGGTCCGCGGTCCAGCTATGCTGCGAGGCCACCGTAATTTAGCTGCATGGGCCAGTCGTACCCGTATAGGGGCCCGGATGTGCCCTGCAACCAGAGCTTGGCATTGCTGCCATGGCCTTTGCGTAGTCTGTGGGCATGGTGATGCCCAAGGGACACATGACTCAGCCTCATGCCAATCATGTCAGCGGTCTGCCTACACTGCTGCAGCAGAGTGGAGTCATGGGTCTGGCAGATTACGGGCCTACCCATGCTGCTGCTGGTCCCTAATCTGCCAGGGCCACCTGCCATGGCCTCTCAGCGTGCTGCCAAGTCCCAATGATGGGTCTGCTGGAGGTTCCACGCCTTCCCATTGCTGCTGTCTACAACCAACTGCATGTGGGTGGTCTCACGTGCTGGTTGTGTCTTGCCATTTTTTTGTCATGCAGGATGTGGCTGGCAGATTTACGGGCCTCCTATAGCTGGAAACAGCACTCCAGGCCACCAGTAATCTGCCTGGGCCCCTTTTGCCTTTACGCGCTCTCTTCATGCTGCTGCCAGGTCCAGAGTCTGTCATGCCATGGTCCTGTTCGGCTCTTTCCCAATTGCTGCTGTCTCCATCGCCAGCACTTCTGTCATGTTGCCACTTTCAGGGTCTCCTCACTGCACTGCTGGTGGGTTTTTTGTGAACCATAGGGTGCTGGGCAGATACTACGGCCTCCCATATTGCTGCCAGGGTCTGTAATCTGCCTATGGCCGGCCCACCGATCATCTGCTGCTACCAGGCCACCTGCTAAACCGCCCCTAATCCCTATATACCGCCTCCTCATGCTGCTGCCAGGTCCAGAGTCTCTCATGGGTCCCCTGTACGGGTCCCTTGTTGTGGCCAGGCCCAGCTAATCTGCCATGGGCCCCTGTACTCCTCTCTCATGCTGGTGTGCCATTTTGTCTCCAGAGTTTTCATGGGCCCTGTACCCTCCCCATTGCTGCTGTCTCCAGTATCGCCATGGGCCCCTGTACAGAGCCTGACCTCTGCTGCCAATGCTAATCTGTCATGGTGCTCATGCCATGTGCACTTTCAGGTTCCTCACACTGTGGTGTGTATTCCAAGTTTTTGTCATAGGGTGCTGGCAGATTACGGGCCTCCCATTGCTGCTGCCAGGCCCCTAATCTGCCATGGGCCCCTAGTACCGCCTCCTCATGCTGCTGCCAGGTCCGAGTCTCTCATGGGTCCCTGTACGGCCTCCCATTGCTGCTGTCTCCATCGCACACTCTGCCATGTGACTTTCAGGTCTCCTCACACTGCTGGTGTGTTCCATTTTTTGTCATAGGGTGCTGGCAGATTACGGGCCTCCCATAGCTGCTGCCAGGCCCCTAATCTGCCATGGGCCCCGTACCGACTCCTCATGCTGCTGCCAGGCCCCAGTAATCTGTCATGGGCCCCCTGTTGTCGCCTATTGGCATATTCCGCTCGTTCAGATGCTCCTTCTCCTGCTACTCCTCTTTCACGGATCTCCGTCAGCAGTCTTTCTTGGAATCCGTTTCCAAGAGACAACAGTTTGCGAGCACGCATTACCGGGCCGGTGCTGCTGCAGGCCCGTAATCTGATGGGCCCCGTACCGTCCTCATGCTGTCCAGGTCCAAGTTGCTGCTGCCCAGGCTCGTAATCTGTCATGCGCCCCTGTACCGCCTCCTCATGCTGCTGCCAGGTCCAGAGTGTGTCATGGGTCCCTGTACGGCCTCCCATTGCTGCTGCCAGGCCCGTAATCTGCCATGGGCCCCCGTACCAACTCCTCATGCTGCTGCCAGGCCCGTAATCTGTCATGGGCCCCTGTACCGCCTCCTCATGCTTCTGCCAGGTCCAGAGTGTGTCATGGGTCCCTGTACGGCCTCCCATTGCTGCTGTCTCCATCGCCACACTCTGCCATGTGCCACTTTCAGGTCTCCTCACACTGCTGGTGGTTTCCATTTTGTCATAGGGTGCTGTATGGCCTCCCATTGCTGCTGCCTCTACCGCCACACTGTGGCTCCACACTCTGGTTTTGGCCCCGTGACTGCCCAAATGAGTGAAGTGTGTGGTGATTCTAAGATCGACGGCACTCATCTGCATGTCATACTGACTGTCAGTATTATTTCTCTTCCCCAGCAGACTCCAAGGGCATTTAATTTAAAGGTGCAGTGTTCTGCACTAATATAAAGTCTCTCTGAAGCCTAGAAACACCCTTTTATAAGTTAAATTCGCAGCGAATATATTCGACTCGAATCAAAATTTTTCCACGAATTCGCCGAATCAGTCGAATCGAATTTTTGAATACTTCGCTCATCTCTACTTACTACACTATGGGAAGTTCTTGCCTGATCTTTCATGTGAGGAGATTGGAGGAGAAAGAGATCTATGGTCATACCCTATTAAGGATATCTGAGTTACGCCGGGGTTTGCTTGCTATGGAGAGGAGTCCTTGCTTTGTTTACCACTGGGATTCATCTTGATTGAGATCATCAGTCTATGCATATACATGTTGACTCCTTGTGGGTCACAGTTGGAAGGTGAGCGCTCACACTAGCTGGTCAAGAATTATATCCATTTGCAGTGATCACGGATGTCTCACGGCTTGTGTTGAAGATTCACTGCTTTTGATGTGTTTTTTGGGACTATTTTTTTATTTATTTGTATCCATTATTTATACATATGTTTATACCACCACAGCCGGGATCATCAGTGAGGGACGTATGGCCATCTCTGAAACGTTTACACCATTCAAATGTCTTACTGCAGACAAGCATCTCATCATCGTACTGTGCTTGAAGTCTTCTGTAGATATCTGTGCGCGTTTTACACCTTCATTTACAAGAAACGTCATCGCCACACGCTGTTCCATGCATGCACCAATACTGTTGTCAGCCATCTTGATTAACAGTCTCTGGACTGACCTGCAACATCTGCTCCATCTATCAGTAAATCGGACACACTTGCCGCTTACTACTATGTGTAGTACTGTCATGCTAGCATCCCTTTTTATACCTGTAAAATTAAATGTCCCTCAGATATTTCTCCATATCTATCTCTATGCTTTAAAACCTTGTAAAGCATAACTGTACTCTCCAAAATCAACATGAACTATTTTTAATCTTTAGGCTACATGTACACTGGAACTGCAATAGATGTTAACTCTACTTACAGCAGAAAAAATGCTAAACGCAGCAAAACCGTGCGTAAATGTGGTCCAGGGGCGGACTGACCATTTGGAAACTCGGGCACTGCCCGAGGGCCCGGGGTCAGTAGGGGGCCCCATGAGATGCCCCTGGTAGCTTTTTCATAGGCTTTTTTGAGTTTGGGCAAGGACACAGGGGCCCCATGATCCCCTATTACCCGGGGCCCCATTAGTTGTCAGTCCGCCCCTGCTCTGTACTGTGCCTGCACACACACCTAGTACTGGGTTTGTACTGTGCCTGCACACTCTCCCAGGCCTGGTTCTGCCTCATGATCCCCTATTGGCCGGGGGCCCATGAGTTGTCAGTCCCGGCCCTGATGTGGTACCATGTTTAGCTGTGTTTACTCCTTTAGCGTTTAGCACCTGGACATTTATTCGTTTCATTGGCCAGAGTACTTGCCATTGAAATTAATAAATGGCAAAGCGCTAAATGTGGCTAGCGATTAGGTGCATTTACACTTGTTGTTGCCACGTTTACCATTTTTTGGGCCAAAATGTTCCTCTCCTGAATGCAAATCTTCTGCCCCTAAACTCTGCTACTGCTAAACTCTGATAAAAGCCTATGTTCATGGACACATAGGCTTTTATTGAGTTGAACTCAGGAGCTTTGGCAAAAAAAATTCCAAAAGCTCCTAAAAAATCCTAAACGTTTAGAAGCAGAGGTGTACATGAAGCCTTATTTGCTAGTATTAGTAAATAGAAGGCAAATTATATTGGCCAAGGACAAAATAAAATCATACATTCAAGAAGTCTTCATGGGCATCTTTTTTTTTTTGTTCATCTGGAGGAAGGGAGGAGGGCTTACTCAGCTAAGAACACCCTCTTGTCTGCATGCCTGAGCTAAGGGCAGATAGATTCCAGAAAGTAAGTGCTACATGAATCATCTGCCCTTACTCAAGATGGCTGCCACTAAAAATGCTAGGGGAAGGGGGGTTCAAAATGATTTGTCAACAAAATAAAGCATGGAGATATGAATGGATGGGTGAGTTGCTGTGAATAATACAAATTAATTAACCCTTGGTGTGAATGCCTCCCAGCCCTCTAAGAGGTTTCTGACACAGCATTTTGCCTAAAAAAGAGCAACATTTTAACTATCCTTTTCCTGAAAACCCAAACAATACCCATAGGAATAGCTCTCCAAAATTAGAGATTTGACATTGGTGGCTAAACAACACTGTTCTTGCACCCCCACCCCACCCTAATAATAATGAAGAAAGCTTTGCAGATTCTGATCAGTGGAATAGGTAGCCATTGGCATTCTCAACTACATACTATTTATGTTCACTATTCCATATAAAAAGGTACAATTGAGATTCCACAGTTATATTTTAAAAATAAATACATGTTTATAAATGCAAGTAAAAACAAGTTGAATGTCTATCTCATTTACAATTAAACTGTGCTCTCATTCTTTGTCATGTAATTTCATTATGTACTGCACCACTCTACTCCAAGTCTTTGATGAAAATCTGTTTTCTTTAGACTTGTATCAAGTGAATTCAAGGCCACCTTCATTAAATCATCTTGTGCTGTAAGCTACATTGTTCTACTCTGTAACTGTTGTTGTTGTCATGTTGTGTGCATCTTTAACCAATTCAATACCGGGCAATTTTACACCTTCCTGCCCAAGCCAATTTTCAGGTTTCAGCGCTCTCACAATTTGAATGACAATTGCGCGGTCATACAACACTGTACCCAAACTAAAATTTTATCATTTTCTTCACACAAACTAGAGCTTTCTTTTGGTGGTATTTAATCACCACTGGGGTTTTTTTTTTTGCTAAATTAACAAAAAAAGACCAAAAATGTTGAAAAAAAAAAAAGTTTTTCTGTTATAAAAGTTTGCAAATAAATAATTGTTCTTCATAAATTTAGGCTGAGGTGTATTTTGCTACATGTCTTCGGTGAAAATAACCCAAATTAGGATGTATTATTTAGTTTGTAGGAAAGATATAGAGTTCACAAACTATGGTATAGATCTGAATATTGATCAATCCTGAAGTACTGACAGCCAATCTAATTTCTTGAGGTCGAAGAATGTCAGAACAGTACAGATATCCCCCAAATGACCCCTTTTTGCAAAGTAGACAGTCCGACGTACTTCATAGTTTTTTGAAGTTGTATTTTTTTTGTCATAGTTTTTTGGAAAATTAAAAAATTAAAAAAATTAGTTTCACTATTTTTTTTTACATATTGTCACCAGTGCAGTACAGCGTCATCATATAACTGGCATGGCGGTGATCAGGGACACTGACCGGTGACAGTATGAAAAAAAAAAATATATATATATATATTTTTTTAATTATTTTTTATAAAAAAAAATTTTTTTTTTTAAGATTTTTTTTTCATATTTCACTATGACCAAAGTAGTACAATGTTACCATAGTAACATTGTACTACTTTGAGGAAGTGATCAGTATTTTTTTTTTTTTTTTTTTTTTTTACACAATTTGCTTATAGCAAAGAATTACTTTGCTATAAGCAAGCATTTACCTGAATGACCGATTCATTCAGGGTTTTTTTTTTTTTTGTGCTTAGCTGTGATTTGGCCACAGCTAATCACATGACATGTGCATGTGATTAACTGTGACCATTCACAGCTAGACACTAGTATACAATGGATGGCATGAATGAAGCCATCCATTGTATACAACTGTCATGTGGCCTGCTGTGATTCATCACAGCAAGTCATATGGTACCGGCAACGGGGCTGATACTCAGATCTGTCATCGGCCGTGTCCGAGGTACACGGCCGGTGACAGATTGCGCCGTTCTGCAGGAGCGCAATCTGCACGTGTGCGGGAAGACGCCATATGGCGTCCACCCGGAACGCTGATGACATTTGCCACCCGCCATTCGGCCATAGGGCGGGTGGCAAATGGTTAATATCTAAGTTATGCCAAAGCTTGCATTATTAATAGATCAAATTAGAAAATAAAGGGGATCACTTAAACTCCAAATCAGGGGCAGACTGACCATTTGGAAACTCGGGCACTGCCCGAGGGCCCGGGGTCAGTAGGGGGCCCCATGAGATACCCCTGGTACCTTTTTTCATAGGCTTTTTTGAGTTTGGGCAAGGACACAGTAGGACAACCCATAACTACTGTTTATAGTCAAGCAATTTATCATGGTTCTAACTAGATTGCTGTATGGAATACAGCAATCTAGTTAGAACTAAAACTGCATGAATCTTCCTTGTTAGAACAAGGCTTAAAGCACAACTAAGGCCGAAAACATAACTGTAATATATTGTCTCTTACCAGTCCTTAGATACGGTGGATACAAATGAAGAAACAGAAAAAGGGCGCACTGACCTAGTGCATTACTGTTTAAAATAATTTATTAAAGAAACAAAAATAGGTATCATACTCACAATGGACATAATAACACAGGCATGTCAAACTGGACAAGATGTTGGCTCTGAGAAAGAGGTTGGCTCTGAGGAAGAGGTTGTGTCCTCAAAACGCGTTAGCCAGTTGGTCATCCAGAGTTCCATCATATGGACTCAGATGTTGTTTGGATCATACATCTTGTCCAGTTTGACATGCCTGTGTTATTATGTCCATTGTGAATATGATACCTATTTTTGTTTCTTTAATAAATTATTTTAAACGATAATGCACTAGGTCGGTGCGCCCTTTTTTTTCTGTTTCTCCATTTGTATCCAGTGTATTCGGACCACCGTGGTCTGTTTGAGGGCAGCAAGCAGTGCATATTCCAGAAAATTCCAGAACATTCCTATTGGGTCTACTGAGGCCTTTCCTAGCGCAGGAGTAAAGTGTTTGTTGTCTTAGATACGGTGACTGCATTCAATTTCTTTTTTCAAACGTTCCATTTCTTTTTTTGCACTGATGATACTTTAGCACACTTTGATGATAATACTCAGCCACACTCAGTCAGGACAACAGAAGCAAGATAGAACCACAGAACCCTGCCTTTCTGATACTGGTTATTACATGGGGGGGTCTGTAGCACTGAGAACTAACTGATAAGCAACAGTACAGGCAGAGAGCACAGGAAGTAATCAGCCCACAGGATTTAAGAGAAGATCAAAAGGTATTTTTTTAACTTATAAAAAGATACAGTATAACAAAATGTTTTCAATGGCCTATTTAACAGAATAAAGGGAACCAAATAAGATATATGTTCTTAATATGTGGTTACATGTCAACAGCCACTGCACACGTCAGCCTGTCATTGACAGTAAAAAAACAATTGGCAGTAAAAAAATAAATGGCTAAACCAGAGCCTATTTCAGATTCAGCTATAGGATACTCACATGTATGTTATGAGGGCCTCCTAGGGGCTCATTTAAAACAAGAAGCAATGAAGCATATTTACTTTCCTCCCTTTAGACCGTTTTCCAATAGAAAAATGGGAAAAAGGTTAATCGTTTGTACATTTTGGTAATTGGCTTCAAGACTTTACTATACTCAGGAGTATGATCAGCAAAAAGCATCCTGAACTCTGCTTTGTGTTGTTATCTTGACTGCATCTGGGAAGCTTATAGGATATATGGGGAACTGCCATGTACGATGAGCAATTCCACCAATGTTTGTCTGCTGCCCCAAGGTCAGTTGGGACCAGGGGCGGACTGACCATTTGGAAACTCGGGCACTGCCCGAGGGCCTGGGGTCAGTAGTAGGGCCCCATGAGATGCCCCTGGTACCTTTTTCATAGGCTTTTTTTAGTTTGGGCAAGGACACAGGGGCCCCATGATCCCCTATTACCCGGGGGCCCCATGAGTTGTCAGTCTGCCCCTTGTTGGGACAATCCAGACATAAGTGTGTGGATACGGTTCATGAACACAAAGGGTGGGTTGTACCAGAGCACAACAGCACACTTGTCCTTTCAGACCAGAACAACCTCAGCAGGAACCTTCGCTTTTCCTTTAACGATGCTTAATGTAAATAGGTTGTTGGGGAAGCCACCCCTTCATTAGATGTTTCAAAAAAGGCAAAACAGGCATTAAAGTAAGATTATAGGGCTGGAAAAGGGTATGAGTTTCCAGTGTCTATTGATATACTGTAGCTAGCAGCCCTTGCATTCCTCTTTAAATTAAAGGGTTAGCCTTAAATTAAGTCCCTTGTAATACAACAAAAGGGAAGACAAACGAAGATGGATATGTTATGCAACATTTTTTTTCTTCAGCAGTGAGTTTTTAGGTTAACATTTCACTGTTGTTGCATGTACTTACTAGCATTTTTCTGAGAGATACCTATATAGGTTTATCGATAAGTTTAAGAAGGTATGGGAGGGGGGCATGTCCAACCGGCTCCATGGATGGCTGCTCCTTGAGAGTCCTCCATAGTACTCCAGTGCGATCAACGGCTACAAAGCAACTTCAGGGTCACAAAAAATACCCCCACAAGTCGGATACTCACCCCTCCTCGCTCTGGTGCCATGCCCCACCGTAGGAAATCACCCAGGCAACC